GGGTCATACTGAGAGGAATAATAATAGGAGGACGACATTGGTTTTTTTCAAAAGTACATGGACTTATGGGCAATTTTGTCATTTTTATAATCTTTTAGGATGTTGATTGTCTTATTTTTAGGACTGATTATGTATTGTTAAACCCTTTTTTTCAAGAATAGTTGTAATATGTTCATTTAATATGTTTGTGAATTGTTACTTTGGTTGTAATATATTAGTTTGGTATATTTATGAATTGTTACTTTCATGTGCTTCATACACTATTTTGATCATTTTTCTTTTAAATTTGTTAATTTATGTTTATATTAAGGTCTATATAGTATTACGAGATTTCATAAGATTTTTATCGAACTTATCAAGTACCGAATCAAATCAAGTAGAAGTCGAACAATTTTCGAGTCGAATCAAGCATTGCTTAACTCGTGATCAACTCGCTCGCTAAATACTCATAATCATGTTATCAGGTTCAAATCAATTTGATACATTAACCCAACTCAACCGAATCCATCTTTTATACAAAAATCCTATGCGTTCAATTCATGATATATCAAAACCCGTCAAATTTAAATCGAATATACATGGCGTTGGACCAAGAAGCCGTGGAAGTTGGGGAGCAAGGTCGAATTTTTAAATATCATGTATAATTTCAAACACAACGCTATACAGTTATAAAATAGTCATTCGATTATGAAGTGTTACTTTGTTGAGTTTCTCGACTATTACAAGTTATAAAAATAGTCACCGACTATTCATTATGTTCATAACTCATCATTTTCTATTAAAAAATTATCGGTCGTCTGATATGAATGCTAATACGATGATTGGGATATGATAATCGTTTGAGAGTCTATGATCAAATTTTATTAGATCACAGTCAGTGGGTTAACAATGAACTCAGAATACTGTCAAATTTTTAACGGAACATGACGAGTTTAAAATATATGAATAGTCGAGTGATCATTTTGTAACTTTTAATAGTCGATGGGCTTAACAAAACAATACTCTATAGTCAAAAAAACTATTTTGTAACTTTTAATAATCGAAAGACTTAATAAAATAATGTACTATAGTCGGAAGATCATTTGTGTACTTTATCCTAAAATTTAATTATCACACCCGATATGGACATTTATGAATCCATACACCAGAAGTCTCAATTGCATTGCCCATGACCATCCCTAATTAATGCTACACGAACCAGCTCTGAAACACCATAGTGAATACTGTTTGTGAAGAAGGTAACACCAAAAACTGTGGCAAAGACTATCCCAAATGGCTTGAACATGGGCCTTTCGTTCGTGTACATGCTAAATGAACGTTGCTACGGTTAATGCTGCCAAAGGCCCCCTATAAAACAATTTGATGTCATTGAATCCGTCGTTAAATGAAGTTTACTTAGCAGATTTTCAGGTTTTCCTGTATCCTTACCGTCGAAACAACGAGTAAAAGGTCTTGTTTGTGTATCAATTTCCAAGCGTTTATGTCTCTCTCCATCAACAGAGAGAAGACCAGACACTGGAGAGTCCCGACCGAGCTGTAAAACGAGGCCACTTTCATCACTTGTGGATATAGTTTAACAGTCCCAAGCTGAATGATATTCCATATTGAAACGGATACGGAGGCGGCAGCTAGGAGAACACCGCCGAGAACCAAACGATCCGGCGCCGAGTAGATCACAAAAATGTGGGTTCTTGTTGAAGTTGATGGTGGTTGCCTCGGAAGAAGAAGGATTTTTGTATAAATGGGCCTTTGTATACTTCTACTGCAATGGCTCCGATAATCGAGACCGAGGTGCCAATCACTTGGGCTTGGCTGCTGGTGCTACTCCAATCGGGCTTTTTCCTCCTATATGATAATGAAAACGTCAGCCAACTTTTGGAAACTGTTTACTTATTAGTTACTATTAATTATTAATAATGTTTAAATTAGTATCAATATTTATTTAAATGATTATTTTAGTCCTATTATTTTTGGTGCATCTTAATCTTAAATTCTTAGTCAAAATGGTTTGTGTTCAATACATGGCTAACATTACACTTTCACGTGTGTTTAATTATTGATGTCTTACATACCACCTCATCACATCAGATGATGTATCACATGTCAAATCATTATCTTAGATGATATGTTACATGTCATATTATCATATTAAGTGACGTGACATATACCATGTTATCATCTTTGATGACATACCGCATGTCATATTATCATATTAGGTGATATGATATGTACGGTATACTACATCATCAACTTAGGTGATATGTCATATATTATATCATCAGCTTGAGTGACACTATACATAAAATGTCAATATCTTAGTACATATAAAAATATCAACTAAGATAATGAAGTGTTAAGGATTAAAATATTAAACAAGAAAATATAGGGATCAGAATAAACATTCAAACTGAGAGCTAATTTTAACAATATAACTATTACTATCATTCCCATGAATCATGCATGTGTTGTTGTCATCATCATCATGAGTTTTCCTTCTTTTTTTCTTCCTTAACTGAAAGAGATAACGCCAAGAAAAATGTGGTTTTGGGAAGAAGAAGAATGCAAGGTTCTGAGATATAGCTATCCTACAAATACATCAGAAAAATAACTAAATAAGAAATATACGCTGGAGGAAGGGAAGGTGAAGAGCGACTGGTCTGCTCTGCAAATATCAAAGAAACAAAGATAAAGAAATGGAAGAGTGCACAAAAAGGAGAAAGAAAGATGGAGGAGAGATTCCAGCAGTTGAAGGCACCTTTCCCGATGAAAAATGAAGGAGAAAGGGAGTAGCAAGAGAGATCCAACAGCATTGGTGTAAACCACAAACACAAAAGGGCTCATTCCGGATGTTATGGCTGTCTTGGCTAAAACAGTGAGTGCTATGGTACAAGCTTCCATCATCACCATCGCCGTAAACGGTGCCATTTCACCAGCTAGTCTTTCTCTCGTCATCAGCACCATCTCCCCCTCGGTTCTGCCGATGAATGGAGACGACAAAAGAAGAAGAGAATCCCTGGTTTGGCCGCGTGCTGGCGTGTAATGTGCGGGCAATTGTGAAAAAAGACAGAAATTAAGCTTTGTTTTGTGAGAAGACAGCTAGTTGGATTAGCCTTTCAAGTGTGGGTGAAGGTACTTGGGGAGTGAAAAAGCGACTCGGGTGACTGACTCTAGGGCTCCAAGTAGAGGGGGAGATGTAGACGTACTACTATTCATATATTAACAGCCACAATCAAAATGGTATTTGATTTTATGGGGTTCACTGGGATGAAGCTTTGTACTAGACATTGATAAAGGCCCTACGTCTAAAGCATGATAATAAGCACCAATGGTCCACTCAACCCAATTTGATTAATTTAAACATAAAAAAAAAGTCCTTCAAGTAAGGCCACCAACAGCATTTTGTACTTAATATCCATTTCCTTTGTAGTTTCTGTTTTGTTTCTCCAAAATCTTCATCTGGGAAGTTGTTTGAACAAATTGAAGTCAAGTATATAGGGATGGCAATTTAATCCGAATCCAACGGATTCCGACAGACCCTAATCTGATTCATTGTCATCCCTATCAATACATCAGGTTTTAAGCATCAGTTGAAGAAACGTGTGCTTTAACCAGGCCAACATATCATTGTAAGTAGAAAACTACATGGCTACAAAAACAGGCATCTTGTACAATATTGCAAACCCCATGTTGGGAATTAATGAGAAGATGTGTATCAAAAGTAAACCACATCTCCAGGCTGCTATCTGTTCATCTTATTGGGCTAGATTCTTGGCTTCTTCAGAGTAGTGGACTTATGGGAAGGCCAGTACGGAATGCTCGATATCTGAGCAAAGGCCCGAAACAAAGCAATGAACCAGGAGCAAGGGAAGATTAACAGCTTCGAAATAGAGTATAAAAAAGGGCTTAGGGTCAACCACAATGGATAAAAAAACCCATGCATATGATGCATTACAACAAAACACAAAGTATAATTATTAGATCTATCTAGTTTGTTTGACTTACAAATAACTATAATATTCCTATGACTGATAAACACTAAAGACTACTATAAATACTCTTAATCATGACTGAAAACGAGGATCAAACTCGCACTATCTCTATATCGCATTTTTCTCCAATATTAATCTTTTTAGTACAAAAATATTGATCGATGATTGTTCATTCACCTGCATCATGTTAACCCATAGACCAAAGACAGATGAGAAGCGCTTGAAAGCTAAAACCAACAGCATCTTTTGCTTAAATCCATTCCTTTGTAGTTCCTATTTTGTTTCCCCAAAATCTTTATGAAGGTATTTTGAACAAATTGATGAAGTATATCAGGTTTTAAGCATCACTTTAGATATCAGTAGAAGAAACATGTGCTTTAACCAGGCCAACGAATCAAAATGCAAAGATATTTCATTACAGGTAAAGGCAACACGACATTCCGGGCAAAAAGCTGCAGCTACATACAAAAATCCCTGGAAACAGACAAAAGATTGAAATGCAAAGATACTTTCCGTACAGTAGAGCTAACACATTTCCCCAAGAAACAAACACCTTCAAGCCAAGCCACGACTAGTCCTAGTCCTAGCCTGCTGTCATATGTACTTTGTTTCCCATTTTTTTCTGTGAGGATTATCTTCTCTTATATGCAGGTTTATTGGACTAATATGGGAGACTATGTTGGAAATGAGCTTGAGTTTAATTCCATTGAGTTTACCCGATTCTCCTTTTACTTGTATTTGTTTTTACATTTTAAATATTGGTGAGAATATAGATTAAATTGAATACCATATGAAGTTTGGATTTCAAGCTGTGAAGCCTAAAGAGCTTAAGGGCTAGTGACATAATTTACTATTGGCTTGCAAACAAAAGGGTAAAAAGAGTGTGGTTGTCGAAAATTAAACAAACATGTTCACAAACGCTAAACGAACCGAATACAAATACCTTAAAAAATCTTAAAGTAACTGTATAGTAGGACTGCTTTGTTGGATTTACTACCACCTTTTCCTTTCTTTATACAGAAGAACTTTTATCATCTGTCCTGCTTTGCAGGAAAGGGACTTCATGGCTTGCTGATCCCAAACTCTCCTCTTTAGCCTTTCCCCACAGCACACCATAAAATCCACTCATTATAATCACTGCACCAATTACCCTACAATGGAACCAATCCACAATTAACCATCAATTAGTTCCTACTTTCCATAATATGTTGAACCATTTAAAGCACATGTTGATGCTTCAATTTATTCAAATACCTTCCCAGAGAAAGGTCTTCTCCCAAGAACACAATGCCGATAGCGGCTGCAATGACAATGGCCAACGGCTTGAACATAGAAACGTAGAGAGGTCCTGCTTTCCATAGGCACCACGAAAACAAGCTGATTCGAAACGTAGTCGCCACTATCGCCTGCATAAACAACACCATGTAATGAATCCTTTGATCTGTGACTTAAGTAACAACTATAGTATGCTTACCGAGTATAAAATTGCAAACAGGCCTATACCAGGCCTTATTTTCCAAGCAACGGGGTCCCTGACTAGAATCAACGAATATATCAACGAAAGAATCGCATTGAAGAAGCAAAGATAGAACATGACAGTTAATACTGCAGGGAACTTTTTCAGAACCATTGCCTGCAGAATTCACAAAGGGTGAAAACCAGTGAATACTGTATTTATATCTCTATAATATCATTGTTAGGATAATGTATTTATACCTGTACAATATACCATGCAGAAGTCATAAAAGCTTCAATTGCAAGAAGAAGCCCCCCAAGGATCCATTGTAATTGTGGAGATGAAAGAAGCTGATGAGACAGTCTCAGAATTGTTGGTCCCTTGTAAAATGTCACTACAAATGCCCCTGTTATGGAGATTATGGTTCCAAAAACCTTGGCTTGGCTGCTTGTGCTTCTCCATTCAAGCTTTTCCATCCTGAATGACGAAGAAGGAAAGATTTCGAGTATAGTTTTACAGATTAATAAGGTGATAAGCCAACTCTAAATGAAGCAAAACCTGAAAATGATGGCTAGTATGAAGGTGAACGCTGGAATGAGGTTGAGCATGGCGGTTGCCATTGCAGGAGAACTGTAGTCTATACCTGCGTATCCGCATAGCTGGCCGATACATCTGCATTGATAAAGATGTGAAAAAACTATGGGTTTTCAGTTTCTTCTCCTTCTTTTGAACAATGATCCATTAAAGATGATAGTTGTGATCTTGAAATTGCAGGAGAAGAAAGAAGGTACAAACCCAAGCAAGGAAAGTAGAAAGATCAATCTATACAGGCTGGAGGAGGTCCATGGAAGACGTACAGATCTGTAAAACCTCAGAATTCAGAAACACACAAAGAAAAACGAATCGAAACAAAGATTTCGAGCTAAATTTGTACCTGTGGAATACAAAGGAGCAAGGAAGGAGAACAAGGCTGGAGAGAAGATTAGAGTAAACAATAAGAACATATTTGTTAACCCCACTAGACATTGCTGCTTTGGTTATCACCATGCTGCTAACTTGAACTAAAATCACCATTATCATTCCCACGAAAGGCAGCATGTTCCCCATTTTTTCCCTTTTGCAAAATCTTTATCCCCTTTCTCTCTCTCTGTCAAACTGTTACATATATGAAGTGAAACTTAACATGGAAGCCATGTTTTTCAGCTGAATGGACCCAAGAGAAAGTCGCTGTCTCTCATGACCAAATTTCCAGTGAAAATAATGAATAATTTCCGAACTCATTTATTGTGAAACGGTACTCATCAATGCTTACTGGTCCACATGGCTACTTTTTTTCAAGATGACAAGAAAAAAGAGGGAACGCGTTAAGTAATTTAAAAAATACCTTGGTGTTACTGGGAAAGAATCAATGGGATATTTCAAGTTTATTGGTATTTTTAACGTTGTTTGCAAGTCTGATCCTTTTGTTCCGTCCTTTAGTGCATTAATCACTCTACCAGTGCTTTCATTGGTTTACCTAAAGATTTATGTTCATAAGTGAATTGCAGTGTCACTTTTGCATATACCCAAAAGCATTCCTGGAGTCTTTATTTCTCCACTCCATCATGTAAAGGGAAATAACAAAAAAAGAAACTTTTTTCTTTACCAACAATTTCATTAAAAAGTAAACTCCCACAACTGGGCATGCAGTGAAGGATGAAAGAAGTTGGGAGTAACTCCCCTTCAAACATCAAGGAATCACAAACAATTTCATTAGGAACTCGAAAACCAGAATAAAAAAAAAAACAAAGTAAAATGCTTAATGGAAGGCAGCAGCTTCATCCTGCAAGTGTTGGAGAAGTGCATCCATGCTGCTTTGTGTTCTGCCTTATCCCTCACCCGTACACACACCTGCATCCAATTAACGCAGTTACCATGGATTCATCTAGCTCTCTTTTTTTACTTGAGAATCATAATCAGCAGCAACGATACACACGAGGAGGCACGCATTTGCAAAGGTATGCAAATTTATTAAAAAAGGCACATAAATCTATTCAGAAAGCATAGGTTTGACAAACCTGCTTATTGTTCACTTCTACTTCTCCTACAACCAAAATATAGTTGTATAGTGCCAGCTGAGCTTCTCGTACCTGCGTTCTGACACGAGAAACAAGCGGGGGGACAAATTGGTTACTTCCAAAATATACATATAAACCTTAACTTGGAAATTGCAGAGCAAGCTGGTTGGAGATTGTAGACATAAAGTCAAAAAGGATAATGTAATAAAATAATCAGCACTGGCAGTGTGGTTCCACTTCCCCCTAAATCCATAACCGTGCGTAGAAATAGAGTTTATAACTTGTTGACTGTAAGAAAATGGAATTTGATGTAATTGAGGATGTCCGGAGTTGCTCCATTTTTTGGATTGTTCAATCTGTCATATCAACATCTACATAATAACCGGCCTCATGAATCCGATCCCGAACCTAAGAAAATGAAATAAGAGATGACATTTGAGTATTTTCTCCCTTCAAAAGGACTGAAGCATTCCAAGCAATCAACTCATTGACAATAAACTAAATGGATCCTACTGTGCCACACTTCATAAAATAGTGCAGAGTCCTACTTTCAATAGTTTCCACCCACAAACGGTTGCTTTGTTCTCAAAAATCGTCCAGAACAACATAATAAATGTCTATTTCGGCAAGTTCATAGGAACTCCAAAATAGCATACAAAATTCTCATGTGTCGAGAAACAAATAGTCACACATAAAAAAGATTAAGAGAACAACATACAGGCAGGACACAACATTAACAATTTATGAATGTTTTAAAATTGTCCAATGAGGGAGACAAAGGATGTACTATGCTGCGGCAACTCGAGAAATAACATCGTGTCCAACAAGGGGAAATCAAGGCAGAATACAGAGGAAATAGACAATATCAGATAGCAGATGCAATGATTATATATAAATGCACCATAAATTCCATAAGGTTGGCAATTGATCGAAAAGGAGCATACTCTGAGATCAAATTACCTCTATCGCATAGTTCTGGGACTTATCTGACACAGGGCAAACAATTGTTTGACGGGGACTAAGCCAGAAGGGCCATTTACCCTTGTAGTGTTCCAACAATATAGCAAACATACGCTTAACAGACCCAAGGATAGCTCTGTGTATCATAAGAGGTTTCTCCCTCTTGGCTTCATCTTCGGCTGAGTACTCCAACTTGAAGCGCTCAGGTAGCTGGAAGTCCAGCTGAAATAAAGGGCACCAGAGTTTTCATAAGACAGAAAAAATTAGAGAATACAGGCAGAAAGAAAAATGAAGCACAATTGAACATCACCAACCTGTAATGTTGCACATTGAAATTTCCTATTCAAAGCATCAGATACGCTAATATCTATATTCGGACCATAAAAAGCCCCATCAAAATGACTAATGTGAGAAAAATAGTTTAAAAACACATCAAACAAAATAGAGTAAAATTATAACTAAAGAGTGGCTAAACAAAAGGTGCCAAATACAAGAAAAGAGATATTGAGCAACAAATCAAACCCACTTGGTATACTCACCACTTTTTCTGGCACAAAACATTCACACCTCAAAATTTCAAATACTATTGAATCATAAGCTTGAACTAATATTTTGACTTGGCAATAACTTACTGAGGTTAAAAAATTTGAGAAAGTTCTATGTGCATTTATATTGCGTATGACCTAGACGGGAGCGGGTGAGACAGTCGTCTGTATAAAAATCTAAAATTATCATATATATTTTAGATTTTTTCTATGTATTGTCTATTAAAAATTTGTTTTTGCCCCTCTGAAATTTTTAAGTTTAAGTTCATTCTCATAAATTTTATAAGTTTAAATTCACCCCTAACTTAAAAATCTTGTGTCCGTCCATGAGTATCCCACGTGAGAGCCTCCTAATGATAGCCTGCCCTCCATGCATGAGAGTGTGCAAGGGAAACCAAATCAACCTTGTTCTTTCTTCTCTCTAACATCCATCTCATTGAATGTTTTACTTGAATCTAGCACAAGTTTCTTCCCTTTAAAATATATGCTTGAATCCAAGCAATTCATATCAACCCTTGCTATTTCTTTTATTTTATGTTATTCGGACTCTTCATTTTTAGAAATTTATCACTTTCGAGTCTTCGATGATTAGTGTCGAATATAAAACCTTGTAGGTGGCTAGTTGCCCAGCTCAGCATCTCCAGTTAGCGAGGTATACCAGCCTGGAAGTTATCATGGGTTGGTTACTGCTATATTTCATGCATAAAAGCTGAAGCTCCATGAATAAGAAACTGTGCATGCGATATCAATTCTTGTTGTATTCTCTTTACTTATTGTTTCTTAACAATTAGATACCATGAGTATTTAAGAGGCTAAAAAATATGAAATTTTGATAGTTTACTGACAACAAACTGACCAGGTACCAACGTGAATGAAAAGCTCTACACATATGTGTACATATATAGTAAATTTGCACATTAACTGTAAAGATATGATACATTTCCGGTTTGTATATGACCAAAATTATCCCACAAAAGAAAAAATAAAAAATGAAAAAGAGTTTAAACATGATATATCATACCCACCTCCAACGTAGATGCATGTGGTACACTTAGCGCATAGATTGATGGTCGGCTATTTCTTCTCAAGAATTCATACCCAAAGTTTATTACAAGTTTTTTTTATCAGGCTGGACCCTTGCTTGGCCTTAGCATACGAGTGCCCTAGTATGTACGCTATCCCGGCTTCCCTAGCTTCCATAAGTTCCTGCAACTCTTCCCTCGCTCCGGTGTTGATCTCCGGGCTCTTCGGGACGATGAACCGTACTCTTTTTCTCGGTTTCATTACAGGTGGTGGTGACCGTATCTCCTTCGACTCTGATGGACCAGCTGCCTCTATGTTGTCTGCGTCGTCCTCACTCATCTGGATCCCTTCTGTGTGGCTAGAACATGTTCCGACAACTGTCATTTTATCTTCATCCTTTAACGGATCTTCGTTAACATGGACAGGAGAAATGCTTCCCGAGCATATGAACTCTGCTATACTACAGACAAGATCTTTCTCAAACTCCATGTCATCTTTGTGAACTTCATGATAACCGTATCGTACAATGCACCTATAGAGCCTGTATTCCCTAGGTCCAATATGACCAACTAAAAACCGTTCCTCTGGTTTAACATGAGGAACGGGGACGGATTTGATGCAAAGAAAGACTAAGACCTGATGGAAGGCTAGAAGGTTAGTGACAAAGTGGGAGAAAATTGCAGGGATTCCAGATACAAGCTCCGTGTGTAGAAGTCCAATCCCACGAACCCGTACTATGCCTAGACTGGGACCCAAGCTACGTAGCCAGTTGATAGACACCTTGTTTTGAACATCGAACTCGTATTTTTTCAGGGTGCCGTAGTGCCAGACACACATGATTACAAGGAAGATGAATGCAAGGGCAACCGGAACCCAGGCCCCTTCGAGGAACTTGGTGAGGGAAGCGGTGAAGTAGAGAGCTTCAATCGTGCCGAAAAAGAAAACAAAGGCTATTGCCAAGAACACACTCTTCTGCCAGCATAGAACAATTACCAAAGCCATTAGGCAAGTAGTTACCAGCATCACAGTTATAACAGCCAAACCTGTCCCACAAGAAACATGGAGTCAAAATCACTAGAACAAAACCAGACAAAAAGGCGATTCGGTTTCTGTTTCATATCGAGCCAAACCTGTCCCACAAGAAACATGGAGTCAAAATCACTAGAACAAAACCAGACAAAAAGGCAATTCGGTTTCTGTTTCATATCGAGATTCAGACATCTATTGTACAAACAATCTATAAAAGAAAAATAATTAATGTTGCAAATGGACCTAATGTAATTGAGACATCTATTGTACATTGCGAATTTTTCAGACTTACAAAAAGCAATCTATAAGTTGAGCACGGTTTTAGGTGGGTCGAAAAGGATACCATAAGTTTCCATTTTCTGCGTATAAAGAAATGGTTTTGGCTAGAATATGAAAATGATATTGCAAGATGCTCTAAGCCCCAAGTTATACAACCAATTGAAAACAGTTATGGAGAGGATTGTCATACCTGATGCATTACCCAAGCGCCTTGTGTCCCTAAAGCCAATAGTAACTGCCAAGCATAACACCATCAGAAGCCAGTTAATCTCAGGAATGTAGATCTGACCGTGGATTTTGGACGATGTGTGGACTATTTTGACCTTCGGGAAGCATCCAAGGGAAGAGCACTGTTTGATTATCGAGAACGTTCCAGTTATGATAGCTTGGCTTCCCACTACTGCAGAAAGTATGGCTATAACCAAAACTGGCCATCTTAACTTCTCTGAAGCAATAACATTTGAATAGTTTCGATTAGCTGAAAAATCAAATTATTATCCAAATTAGACCATTTCAATAACAATTAAAGTTACCTACCTGGTACAGACACCTAAAACCCAATTTGGAAATCACTGTCCATAGTATGATGCCGAGATAGATAGGCAGCTTGCCCCATGTATGCAAGAATCAAGGATGGATAAACCAAAGAGGTGAAAGCAATCTGCAGAAATGGGGTAATTCCCATTCGATAAAAGCAGTTCATTGGCACAATTTAAAGCTCAATAATAACCAGCAATCATGCAACTCTCAGAAATTCTTTTGCAAACTAGAAGTGCCAATTATAATCCTAATTTCATAAACTTGAAAAACTTGCTCAATACATCTATAATAGCCTATTCGATAGGTCTAAATGCTCACTTATTTAAAAGAAGAAATCCCTAACCATGAATTAAGGATATATACCTTTATTGACAATTGTGAAAAATGCCCAAGATCGGCAAACATAGCTTCTGAGCCTGAAAACCGAAAATCGAAAATGTAAATCAACTTAAAACGAACCTCTTTATTTTAAAATAGAAGAAAAATTATACACACATGCACACACCTGTTATACACAATAAAATTCCACCCAGAGACATCCAGCCACCTCTCTGGGTTTTTCGAAAGAATTTGTACATAAAATACGGAGAGAGTGCTTGATACACATGAGGGTTCCAGTGAATGATATTATATAACCCAATGGCACTGATGCAAAGAAGCCATAATAGAACCACTGGTGCAAACAAAAATCCAACCCTGTGAGTGCCATAATGTTGGAGGGCAAACAAGCCTATCAGTATGATGCAGGCGACTGGAACCTCTACATCTGCAAAAAATTGTTGAATCTTCATAAGAGGTGGTACAATGCTATATCGAATTATGAATGACATACGAATAGAAGAAGGTGGTACAAATACTCATGTATCAAATAGAGAACAACTTGTATAGAAGCTGTGCACCTAAGAGTAAAAATACAATTAGTACTCGTGGCTAAAAATTCTGCTAGGAAACTTCGAAAACATTTCAATTTAGTCTTTATTTATAGCATTTGATAGGAGCATTAGTCATGCTAGCATTTCATAGGAGCATTAGTCATGCTAGGGGTCAGAAAGAACCGCATTCAATTGAACATTAATTGCACAACTAAAACCACACTTCGAAGACCATGAGTCATTGTTTAGTGTCAATGTGAAAAAAGGGTCCCAACAGCACAAGAGTTCACATCGTACACGGTTCAAATAAGTTGCCTAATTTGAAAACTTGAATTATTGGGTAGGCCATTTCTTTTAGAAACTAAACTAGATGCCAAAGTATGCACTCATAAAACCTCTATCCCAAAGTGGGGCAGTAGTTTTGACTTAAAAAAAAAAGTTTCAGATGAAAGCAGTGTACGCAAGCAGAAATATCGCTGAAGAAATTCGATCTACTAGTTTGGGCGGACTATGCAACAGTGTCCCAGTTTAGCATGTTGATAGAAAGTCCAACCAACTTGAGGTGAAGGGTAGAACCATGGGTTCCACAATACATATGTTTAGGGTTTGGGGGACCAAGATTAAAGACTGAAGACAATCATTGAAATCATGCGCCTTATCATTTAGGTTGTTGAAGAACAAAAGGCCAAGAGGCAAATAATAGAAACCTAGGAAAAGCCTAAACAACCATCCTAGAACTTGAGAATTACTGAAGCAATCAAAAGGATTAAAAAATCTCACTTTTTGCTAAAATACAGCAACACCAACAAGGGAACAAAGTGAAGGGAGAAAGTACCTTACATTTGTGATGTTCTTTTGACATTGAAAGTTCAACACCGGACACGGCTGAGAATACTGCACAACAACCCAAACAATCAAGCAATTCAATTTATGACACAATTAGCACAAATAAATCAATTCAGGGAAAGAAAAGTCCAATTACCAGAAATAGCTGGTGTGAGGATGCCATCACCAATCACCATACAGGTCCCAATCAAAGCAAGAACAAGCAAGAACCTTTGCAACACCCTATGCTTCTCCAAAGTGGATTTCAAGCTTGACCCGAGACTCGATTTCGGTGCCAAACCAATACTGTCCTTCTTGTACTCAAACAGCTCTTCATAGCCAATTGGCAATTGGGGAGAGAGTTAACTCGGGCGTGTCGACACAGCGATGAATTCAAGGCAAAAGTCCCTCCTTCACCATTATCATCGGCTATAAGCACAATGAACACATATTTGAGTAAAGGCACCAAAGTTAAAGTCCAGAAAACAAAGACAAAACCCCAAAGATCTCTTCATTTGTCTCCGAGTGTCGAATATCTTCCTCAAATGTGTTCTTGTGAACATACAAAGGAGAAGTGCTTAAATCCCCATAGACTACACCAAGTCTTTGGTATGCTAAAGTCAATACAGTTCTCCATGATTCCTTCTGCAAGAGAAAAAAAATCCAATTAGAACCTGAAATCTAAAACCCAAAACAGAAATGTGTTTTCGATTAATAAAAAGGAATTAATATATTTTCTTCAAACAAACCCATCTTACCTTAACATAGTTTTGGTAAACACCAGTTTCCAGATCCATGATCGAGGAGATTCAACGAATGCCCATTTGCTAAATAAACCTTCTCCAGAATCTACACAAACTGAAAAATTCAAAGACCAATGCTTTTTTTTTTTCCTTTTCTTTATTCTTTAGTGACAGAGTTGTATGTATGTGGAGAGCAGTTAAGCATTCATCAATGGAGACAGCAAAAACAAAGAAAAACTTGCAAGACCCTGAAAACCAGACATGAATAACAAGTATAATACTTGGTAAACAGAAGAAAACTTGTAATGATTAAAAAACATAAAAAATAAGGGACTAGGTGTGCTATGATTCTTTTGCGTATGACTTGTGAAGCTTCTGGAGAAAGAAGACAAAGAGAGAGAAGCTTGTTG